CCTCCGCCTCCTGGGTTCAAGCAATTCTCCTGCCTCAGCCTCCTGAGTAGCTGGGATTACAGGCACGCGCCACCATGCCCAGCTAATTTTTTTTGTAGCTTTAGTAGAGACGGGGTTTCACCGTGTTGACCAGGATGATCTCGATCTCTTGACCTCGTGATCCACCCGCCTCGGCCTCCCAAAGTGCTGGGATTACAGGCGTGAGCCACCGCGCCCAGCCGGAGAAATGTTCTTTACTCTGTTTACTAATTCAAATGCTGGTCTCTTCTGGAAACATTCTCACAGACACACTCACAAAAAATGTTGTTTCTGAGACAGGGTCTCTTGCTCTGTCTCCCATGCTGGAGTGCAATGGCACAATCTCGGCTCACTGCTGCCTTGACCTCCTGGGATCAAGCAATTCTCCTACCTCAGCCTCCTGAGTACCTGGAACTACAGGCATGTGCCACTATGCCCCGCTATTAATAAATCTTTTTTTTTTTTTGTATTTTTTGTAGAGACAAGGTTTCACCATGTTGCCAAGGCTAGTCTCGAACTCCTGAGCTCAAGCAATCCACCTGCCTCAGCATCCCAAAGTGCTGGGATTATAGGCATGAGCCACCATGCCGGGCCATCAACCCAGTCAAGCTGACACATAAAATAAACCATCACAATACGGGTCAAATCATTTTGCATTCTCTCCTGCAACATAGGAAGTTGCCTCTTTTTCCACAATCTCACTAAAAAAGTATATCATTTAACATTCGCATTTTTGCCAATCTGACAAGTGATAAACAAGATTTCTATGTATTTATCATTGACCAAAAACTCTTTCTCTCAAAAAAGAAAAGGACATAATTTGAAAATATAGTACAGCTCTCTGAACTGAATACATTTTGATTTATGCAAATGTCACTACATATTCACATTTTTTTCATTTTTTTCTAGCCTGGTGAAGACTTGTTCACAGATCAGCATCAGTCTGAAGAACATAGAAATCATTGCTCTGGCCAGTGCTTCTCAGCTACACAGATAAAATAATAATATTTGTAAGCACTCTGGGGTCGAAGGGTGAGGATGCTCATCACCGAAGACAGCAGTCTGACCACCCCAAGACTCTGCCTCGCCACCCCAAAGAGAAGACCTTTCATACTTCCACACATCTGGAATCCATACCTGTTGCAAAGCTCTCTATTAGAAAACCAACCCAGTCTATGATACATGGATTCTTGTTAGTGTCCATCTCAGAAGTGTGCGTTTTCCTTACGTTGAGTTAGGACTACATCCCTTTCTGGGGACTGTAGCCTTTTGTTCTCTAACTGCAGTAATGCTGAAACAACTTAAGAGGACAAAGACCAAATTGTTTTCAAGCCCCATGAAGCATTTCAAAAGTTCTGGTCACATCTAAATTTTTCCTTTTTTTTTTTTTTTGAGATGGAGTTTTGCTGTGTTACCCAAGCTGGAGTGTAGTGGTGCAATCTCAGCTCACTGCAACCTCTGCCTCTCGGGTTCAAGTAATTCTCCTGCCTCAGCCTCCCAAGTAGCTGGGATTATAGGTACCTGACACCATGCCTGGCTAATTTTTTTGTATTTTTAGTAGAGATGTGGTTTCACCATGTTGGCCAGGCTGGTTTTGACCTCCTAACCTCAAATGATCCGCCCGTCTTGGCCTCCCAAAGTTCTGGTATTACAGGTGTGAGCCAACACGTCCGGAGCACACCTAATTTTTTTTTAATTATAAATTATATGCTATCTATAATATCAATATTTTTATTTGCCCAATAAAATAAGGCCTGTGCACTATGCTGCCTATCTGATTTTAGTTGTGACTATGTGTTTTGCTTTGGCCAATGAAATGTGAGAAGTTACTTGTGTCACTTTCATGCTGAATCTCTTTTCCTTTGTCATGGCAACCAGTGTTTTTCCAGTTAGCTGCTCCATCCACCTGGGTCTTGGAGTAGGAACCACTGTATTGCAGCAACCAACTCGCCATGGACAAGCAGCCAGAGTGAGAAATAAACCGAGGTTGTTTCAAGCTACTGAAACTTGGGAGTTGCTTGTTAGTGTAACATAACCTAGCCTATTTGACTAATAAAGCAGAGTCTTTAATTTGGCTATATGTTATGGAGACCCCAGGTTTTGATGCAATTGAAGACATTGGAAAAGTATTATCTTTGAAATAGGACAGAGGTACCAAATGATTACTCTGTACTGAGAGAAAAACATGTATGGTCTGTGGAATTAGTATCAGCTTACAGGGCAATTAAGTTGTTAACTATTCATGGAATCATAGGTGTTCAGAGCTTGAGGGATCTTGGAGATAACCAAGCATAATACTCTATTCAACACATAGCTCCCCTATACACCATAGCCAGAGGGTGGTCTTCTAGGGTCTTATTGGAAACCCTCATGGATAGACAGCTTATGCCACAAGAGGCAGTGTGCTCCATTTCCTGGCAACTCTGTTTAAATATGCTTTTTTGTGTAGCAAGTTGACTTATTTCTTCCTCTTATTGCAATGTATTGGTTATGGGAGCAAACTTAACCCTTCATGCTATAAAGCCCTAATATGCCACCTTCTCATTGTACACTATTCCTCAATGTCATTCAGACCACTGTCTTTTCCAGTCATTGACCTGGGGTCCACCTGTAAGTCTGGTAGACCATTCTTCAGTCGAATAAAAAAGACTCTTCCAGCCAGGCGCAGTGGCTCATGCCTGTAACCCCAGTACTTTGGGAGGCCGAGGCAGGCGGATCACCTGAGGACCGGAGTTCGAGACCAACATGATAAACATGGAGAAACCCCTTTTCTACTAAAAATACAAAAAGTAGACAGGTGTGGTGGTGTGCACCTGTAATCTCAGCTACTTGGAAGACTGAGGCAGGAGAATCGCTTGAACCTGGGAGACGGAGGTCACAGTGGGCCGAGATCCCACCATTCCACTGCAGCCTGGGCAATAAGAGTGAAACTTTGTCTCAAAAAAAAAACAAGACTTTGCATTTGGCATGCACTGTTCTCTACTCCCCACCCTTGTCCTGCCCCCAACTCCACCACCTTCCAAACTGGTTGCTGATAAAATGGAAGCCCTAGCACAGTAAAGCAAACCCATAAAAGACACCTTTGACAGTTGTCTAAGAAATCAAAGCCGGCCGAGCGTAGTGGCTCACGCCTGTAATCCAAGCACTTTGGAGGCCAAGGCAGGCGGATCACCTGAGGTCGGGAGTTCAAGACCAGCCTGACCAACATGCTGAAACCCTGTTTTTAAAAAAAAAAAAATTTTTAATAAAAAAATAAAATAAAAAGAAATCAAAGCCACATCAAGAAGAATGGCTAGGGCTGGGCGTGGTGGCTCACGCCTGTAACCCCAGCACTTTGGGAGGCCGAGGCGGGTGGATCACGAGGTCAAGAGATCAAGACCATCCTGGTCAACAAGGCGAAACCCCGTCTCTACTAAAAATACAAAAAATCAGCTGGGCATGGTGGCACGTGCCTGTAATCCCAGCTACTCAGGAGGCTGAGGCAGGAGAATTGCCTGAACCCAGGAGGCGGAGGTTGCGGTGAGCCGAGATCGCGCCATTGCACTCCAGCCTGGGTAACGAGAGCGAAACTCCGTCTCAAAAAAAAAAGAAAAAGAAAAGAAGAATGGCTAATAGTTAGGTATGGAAATGTAATAATAATAAAAAAAGACAATTCTCTGAATATTCCCTTCAGGGAGAAGTATTGGAACAATGGGTTTATTGTATAATTTCAGCCGAATTAGTTTTAGGACCAAGGCAGTCTGAAACCAGAAAAGAGAAACCAGATGCGGTGAATTCCAGGAAATATCAACATGTGTGTACTTCTTAGAGGGAAATTTCCAGGGATTTCTTGGAACATTTTGTAACTTCTGTGCTTACATATGTTTAGCGTATGTAAGGCAAAAGCTTACCCCAAAGATATTTAGAAATTAACACAGTATTTTTTTTTCTTAAGAAAAATGTGTCCTATTTTCTCCTGATTTATAAAAATACTGCATTATCATAAAAAGTTTAGAAAACGCCGGGCGCTGTGGCTCATGCCTGTAATCCCAGCACTTTGGGAGGCTGAGGTGGGCGGATCACCTGAGGTCAGGAGTTCGAGACCAGCCTGACCAATATGGTGAAACCCTGTCTTAAAAAATATGTATAAAAAAGAAAAAGAAAAAATAAAATAAATAGCAAATATATTTTTTTAAAAAGTTTAGAAAACACAGAAAATTATACAAATGTAGAAACTAAATCAGTCAAATACTCTTATAATAAATTCTTTGTATTATTCAATAGATAACGGTATACCTATTAATGATCACATTTGATGTAAAAAAAATTATGGAGCCAGGTACAGTGGCATAAACCTACAGTACCAACTATTCAGGAAGCAGAGACAGTAAGGTTGCTTGAACCCAGGAACTCAATGCTGTAATGCACTATGATCATACCTATGAGTAGCCACTACACTCCAGCCTGGGCACATTGTAAGACCCCATTTCTAAAAATAAAAAATTTTTAAACTAGGTTGAAAATTACTTTGGTTGTGTTCTTAAATTTCGTTGAATACAATTTAAGATTCTTAGAAATTTAGCTCTCTTCCTCCTCCTAGAATTATATGTTAATTTCTTGATCTTACCACGAGGAAATCAAGAATCATAAACTCCATGACTGTTTCATAGCTGATCAAAATGTCAAAAAGGATTTCTAGCTAGGCTTTTTTCAGTGGCCCATAGAAAATATTTACAGTCATTTCAAACTCAACATGTTTAAAAACTGAGTTTTTCTTCCAATAAATTTGAGGTTGTTCCCAGTCATGCCATTCTTTTTGGAAAAGACAGGTAATCCTATTTTTCTGGCCCACCAGACTTACAACATCAATGCCCCTGTCTCTCTTCTTATCAACATATTCAAGGGCCTGGTGTAGAGGCTTATACCTGTAATACCAGCACTTTGGGAAGCCAAGGCAGGAGGATCGCTTGAAGCCAGGAGTTGGAGACCAGCCCGGGCAACATAGCAAGACCCCATCTCTACAAAAAATTAAAAATTAGCAGGAAATGGTGGTGTGCACCTGTCGTCCCAGCAACTTGAGAGACTGAGGCAGAAGGATAACTTGAGCTCAGGAGTTGGAGGTACTGGTAAGCTATGATCGTGCCATTGTACTCCAGCCTGGGTGACAGAACAAGACCTTGTCTCTAAATAAATAAATAGATAAACAAATAAGTCATATTAAAGAAGATAGCAATTCTTTTTGGGCAGGTGGTGACAGAGTCTCACTGGAGACTACACTTACAGGCTGGAGTATAATGGTGTGATCTCACTGCAACTTCTGTCTCCCAGGTTCAAGTTATTCTCTTGCTTCAGCCTCCTGAGTAGTTGGGGCTACAGGTATGTGCCACCATGCCTGACTAATTTTTGTATTTTTAGTGGAGATGGGGTTTCACCATGTTGGCCAGACTGATCTCAAACTCCTGACCTCAAGTGATCTACCTGCCTCAGCCTCCCAAAGTGCTAGGATTACAGGCGTGAGCCACCCCACCAAGCCAAAGAAGATAGCAATTCTGTTGATTCTTTCTTTAAACTTTCTATAGGATTTGAGCCCTCCCTTTGAAATTTCATGCCACAGCCTTAGGCCTTATCAACTGGGAAGCTATTCATTAAGTAGAACAAGAATTAATCTCCATCCAGCTGCCTTCATTATTCTTCCGAAAGCATCCGTATATTTTCAATCCTTTTGTTCTTTACAATATGTGTTAGCGCCAAACTGCTTTCTGACTCAAATCAAAACTCTTTGGCCTAATGCCATTCACCCAAAACCCACTGATTTAACTACTCTGTGCCAGGCACTGTGTTGGGCAGGAAGGATACAAGGGTGACCTTGACAGGCAAGATTCTCCGCCTCATGGTGCTATACATCTAGTGGGGGTGACAGACAAAAAAAAAAATGAGCAACAACAAGAACAACAAAATAAATGTTTAACTTGTGGCAAGTGCTCTGAAGGACATCAACAGAGCGCTGTGCCCAAGAATCACAGAGACAGTCTATCTTCTCTGGCTGCTGCATGAGGTGCAGATTGGAGAGGGTTGAAAGAGGATGTGGGGAGAACAATAAACAGAGCGCTACCATTGTCTGTGTCTGAGCAGCAGATGACAGTGGCCTGGACCATGGTGATGGCAATGGGGAAGGGACATGGTCATGTTAGATGTAGTTAAGAAGTAGAGATGATAGGACTAGCTCATGGGTCTGAAACAAGAGGGTGGTAAGGGAAAGAGCTGAATCGAAGACCATGTCCAGCTTTCTGGTTTGAACAATTGGATAGATGGCGGTACTAATTACTGAGATGAGAAATGCAATAGAAGAGAGGATTTGGGAATTACAATCAAGGGCTGTGCAGGGCACAGTGTCTCACACCTGTAATCCCAACACTTTGGGAGGCTGAGGTGGGCAGATCACCTGAGGTCGGGAGTTCGAGATTAGCCTGGCAAACACTGTAAAACCACATCTCTACTAAAAATACAAAAATTAGCCAGGTGTGGTGGTGCACACATGTAGATCCAGCAACTTGGAAGGCTGAGGCAGGAGAATCGCTTAAATCCAGACCTCAGTGATTCTCCTGCCTCAGCAAGAGGCAGAGATTGGAGGCGGAGGTTGCAGTGAGCCAAGATTGTACCACTGCACTCTAGCCTGAGCAACAGAGTGAGACTCCATCTCAAAAAATTAAAAAAATCAAATCAAGGGCTCCATTTTTGGATATAACCAAGCATATAAGGAACAGAACCAGCCCTGGCATCACAACAATAGCAGCAGCCACTAGAAGCATGCTCCATGTGGTCCCTCCCTTTGAGCCCAGGTCTCCCAGAAAGAACCCAACCCTCTGAGCAGCCAGTGGTTGATCCCCATCCCAGCTGGGGACCCCATTTATAGCAACTTTGACCTGGGCCTATTTAATTTGTCTTCTGCCACCTTACAGGAGGTTCCAACCCTCCAGAGCAGAAAGAGGTGTGACCAAAAGACCTCCCAAGATGATTGAGCAGGAGGGATAGAGAGAAGGGAGTTTCTCCTGAAGACCCCCTGGCTTATCAGGGCCACCCCCTCTAGTGACTCCCTGTGGAAGAGAAAGAGGGGAGCCCCCATCTCCCATGGTTCTAAGGGTGGGATTCCTTCTAAGAAGTCCCTTGGAAGCAATTTCATCCAAAAGGAATAATTGCCATACCCATCTCCACCCAATGCTCTGTTGAACGGGAAGAGGTGGGTCTGCCTCAGATCTGGAGGAGTCGCTTTTTCTGCTGGGAGCAGAGAGAGGCAAAGTTAGCCCCTCCCTTGTCCACAGCCACCTTGAGGCTGAGTCCTGGCACCCTGTCCCATCTAGTGTTGTTGGCCAGGGCCTGCCAATGGGAATAGGGCCTCTGGCTAGATGGCTTCCCTTCCACCTCGCCAGGTGGCCCTCACTGGACAAGCTGAAGCAGATCTGCCTCCCTGACTGTGATGTGTTTCGTGGCCCCTAGAACCTGTCCCAGGCTGGCCATTCTCACCTCAGCCACCATGGTGAGGCTCTCAACTTCCTAGACAGAGAGATTACTCTCTGTCCTGCTGCCTTTATCACTCAGGCTGCCCAGATCATGCAAAATTCATTCTTTGAGACCAAGGGCTCAGTCCAGCCAGAGAATATCAGAGCTGTCTGCAGCTAGGAGAGACAGCTCAGCTCCGCTGCTTACAGAGACAGCTCCCTTAGAGAGGCGAGAGCAGCCCTTTCTCTTGGGTTGGGACAGGGGACATTGGACAAAGACAGGAACATCTACCACCTGAGGCACTCCGACTTTGTACTTTCCACGCTAGCCACTGACACCATTCAGAGGTAGCTATGGGCGGACCCTTCATCAGGAATACAACCAAACTGCTTATAGGAGGTACCTGGGAGAATTCTCTTGACTGCTACTGTGACCGGGACCAGGTCACCAAACCCCAACACCACTCTTGTTGCAACCACACTTTCAACTCCACCCAAGATGAACCCTTTGGTCTTTGGACTCCTTACCTCAGTCATCACTGGGACAGCTTGCTTCTTGACCTCCTCTGAGTCACCCCCTCCTCACAGGCCAATTCTGTGAATATCAAAGAGTTATTGCTAAGTGTAAAATGATTCCTGAGATGATCTGGGACTTGACTACCACTGCTTGACCAGCGCTTTCCAGAGCAGGTCTGCTGTACTGAGAAGGAGAATCAGCCTTCATCAGTGACCTGTGCGTCCCTAACAAGACTCTGGCAAGATCGTGCTCCCTCCTGTGACCAGAAACCTGAGTATATCAGTCAGGGTCCTCCAGAAAAAGAGCCAACAGGGTGTGTGTGTGAGATTATAATACACATGTTTCTTATTATTTGTATAGTAATTATGTATATAATATACATGATGTATCATAAGAAATTGGCTCATGCAATTATGGAGGCTGGCAAGTCTCAATATCTGGAGGCTGAGTCAGCAAGCTGGAGATCCAGAAGAGCAAATGGTTTAATTCTAATCTGAGTCCTAAGGCCTGACAACCAGGAGAGCTGATGTGTGTGGTGCCTGATCGAAGGCTGGCAGGCTCACTTACCAGGAAGAACAAATGCTTCAGTTTGAGTCAAAGGCAGGAAAAAGCTAATGTTCTAGTTTGAAGGCAGACAGAAAAAGGAATCCCCTCACTTGGAAGAAGGTCAGCCTTTGGTTCTATTCATGCCTTCAACTGATTGGATGAGATCCACCCGCGTTAGAATGAGCAATCTATTTTATTCAGTCTACCAATGTAAATGTTAATCTAATACAAAAACACCCTCTCCAAAACATTCAGGATAATATTTGTCCAAATATCTGGGCATCCCATGGCCTAGTCAAGGTGACACATAAAATTAACCATCATCATACCTGAGGAGGCAGACAAACTACCTCAACACCCTCTAACTGAGATGCGAGTATATTAAGGCCCAAGAGGAAAGAGTATTAGGCCCACCGCAGAACCGCAGAGGGATTAGATAGTGGGCGATGCCCTACACCAACCACTCCAATAACTCACTCTCTCTAGTTTTGATATGTTAACTTGAGAAACCTATGAGTCCTCCAAATGTCACTGTTAAGTAGGCAGTAAAATGTTGGAGCTAGGAAAGAGAAAGTTTGGGGACACATATTTGGGAATCAGCACAGAACATTAAACCAAAGGGTAGTAGGGCCAGGTATGGTGACTCGCACCTGTAATCCCACTACTTTGGGAGGCCAAGACCGGAGGACTGCTTGAGCCCAGGAGTTCAAGACCAACCTGAGCAAGATGGGGAAACCCGGTCTCTATAAATTAATCAGTTAATTAATTAAACAAATGACCAGAGCCAGTTCTCTTGATTAAAAAAAAAAACTAGTAAATGTAATATAAAAAGATAAAAATAATTTTTTAAAACCAACAGGTAAAGATTATAGAGACAAAAGAGAAGAGGGTCCAGAATGGATCCCTGAAGAACTAAACCATCTGAGATTGAATAGGAGAAGATGGATATAGACAGGTGAAGAAAACTGAACAGTGCCGGGGTAAAGGGAGGAAAACCAGGAGAATATGGGGTCACCAAAGACAGGAAGAGAGTACGCAGAAAATGATTGTACCAAATGCCACCGTGAGGCCGAGTAAAGAGGAGGACATAGAAAAGCTCACGAGATTTGACCATTTATTTTATTTTATTTATTTACTACTGATCAGAAGGCAAGACCATTTTCATTTCAAACCTCTACAATTTGGTTCCATTTCCCCTAAATTTCCTGATCTCTTGTTGAATTCTAGCTGGGGTCACACATCCCAGTTTGCTGAGGGCAGTTTTCTAAATAGTCATGTTGTGCTCATGTCAAAATATAATTTTTAAATGCAGTTTTTTTTTTCTCTTTACATACTTTTCGTTTTTCCTTAAGGGGTCACACTGAAGACCAAATGTAATTATTAACAGTGCTCTCTTTCATTCTCAAAAGTACATGCATTTGCATGATAAATTACCTGGCTACCCTCTTTCTAACACAAACCTTTTGTGCCAGGTGAGCAGGGGTAACTTTCCTCCCAATTCCTGCCATTTTTCTTCCAATCTTGGGGCTTCTGCCCAGGGTGCTCCCCCCATACCGGAAATGCTTCTGCTCTGCCCAGGGTGCTCCTCCCACACCAGAAATGCTTCTGCTTCTTTCTGGCAAACTCAAGTCTCACCTCTCCATGCTACTTCGATGCCCATCCCACCAATGGCCTACTCTTCTATTTTTTTAACAGTATATTTTTATTCCAAACAACATCTGATTTATAGAAAATTTGAAACCATAGAACAAAAAACTGTTTTCTCCTCATCTCTGAGATTAAGTTGCCAACATGGTGTCCATGGCCCCCAAATACTTCAGCATTTTCTAATAAACAAGGACACTCTTCCTACCAAAATCAGGAAAGTAGCACTGATGCATTGTTACCGTATAATTCTCACATGCATTCAAGTTTCACCAACTGTCCCAGAAGTGTCTTTATAGCAACTGAGTGCAGTTCAGAATCATGTGTTGCATTTATTTGTCACAGCTCTTTTAGTCTCCTTCAACTGAGAAAAGTTCCTGTTTTTTTCTGGACTCTCTTGTGACTTTTTTGACTCTTTTGCAGTTACAGACTAATTGTTTTACAAAATGTCTCTCAACTTGGGTCTGTCCATGTTTTCTAATGATTAGATTCAGGTTATGTATCTTTGACAGAAATACAAAAGAAGTCATGTGTTCTTCTCATTGGATCCACACTTCAATATGTCCTATTACTAATGATGTTAACTTTGATCATTTCATTAAGATCACATCTACTGTGCTTCCTGGCTGTGAAGTTATTCTTTTTCCTATTGTAACAAATAAATGTTTTCTAGGGAAGAACTTAGAATGTGTAAATTTCCATTCCTCTTTAAAATTAATCTTTTTATCACTTTACATCAATAGGGACTATGAATTACAAAGTATTCAATGGGTATATTAGTATCAATGGGTTATATTACCATCATTATTAAGTTTGATGCTCAGATTGTCTCAGATTTGGCCAGCGGGACATTTCAGGCTGGTTACAGTGTCCTTCTTTGGGTACTTTCTTACTTTCTGGCACCAGAAGCTATCCCAGACCCATCTTTTCCTTTTCCTTTATTAACCCCTAGAATCAGCCATTTCTCTTAAGGGATCTTGGTTCCTGTAAGTGAAGAATGATATTTAGAAACCGGGATTGAAACCAGGCACGGTGGCTCACGCCTGACATCGCAGCATTTTGAGAGGCCAAGACAGGTGGAATGCCTAAAGTCAGGAGTTCGAGACCAGCCTGGCTAACATGGCAAAAACCCATCTCTACTAAAAATACAAAACTTAGCCAGACATGGTGGCAGGTGCTTGTAATCCCAGCTACTTGGGAGGCTGAGGCAGGAGAATTGCTTGAACCAGGGAGGTGGAGGTTGCAGTGAGCCAACATCATGCCATTGCACTCCAGCCTGGGTGATAGAGTGAGACTCCATCTCAAGAAAAAGAAAAAAGAAAAAGAAAAAGAAAAACCCACACAAAAAACCCACAAAAACAGAAACCAGGATTGAGACCAAGCACAGTGGCTTATGCCTATAATCCCAGCACTTTGGGAGGCTGAGGTGGGAGGACTGCTTGAGGCCACGAGTTCAAGACCACCTTGGCCAACATAGCAAGACCCCACCTCTATTTTTAAAAAATAAAATAAATAGAAACCAGTATTGGTCATCATCAATCTCAGGCCCTCTTGGGACACAGAAGTAGGGACTATCAGGATGTATGTACACACATACACACAATCATACATATATGTACACTTATGTTTCTCCACATATGTAATAAAATATGGATCGTATTTGTTTGTTTATTGAAAACCATGACTTCATACCAATACTTCTCATTCCAACCCAACACAGGTTTCATTCTAGTTTTCTGTCTGTCTGTCCATAATTTATTTTTTTGAGATGGGGTCTTGCTCAGTTACCCAGGCTGTAGTATGGCCTCAATCTGGGCTCAAGTGATCCTCACACTTCAGCCTCCTTTCTTGAGCTGGCATACAGGTGCATGCCATCACGTCCAGCTAATCCTGTGTTTTTCAATTTCTGTAGAGATGGGATCTCCCTATGTTGCCCAGGCTGGTGTCAAACTCCTGGCCTCAAGCAATCCTTCCACCTCAGTCTCTTAAAGTAGTGGGATTACAGGCATGATTTGTAAACTGTCTTCTCTAACAGCTAGAAGCTGTGCTTTCATTATCCTTAATATTACGCATTTACATACACGGCCTTGGCAATACTTTTCTCTCCCCACTGGGACTCCAACATCCCGTGGCAGATTGCCTCTGCCAGGCCACCCCTTACCGTAACTTGAGCTCTGACAGCCTGGCCTACCCCTGAATGTGATCGTGGTCAGGTTCTGACCACCACAGCTCACCTCCACCCCACTTATAGCTGCCTGCCTTGCTTGACCCCGCACCTGATTTTTGCATTTGATTTTTCAAGAAAGGAAAAGAGGAACTGTAGCTTCTTTCTTATTACTTTTAAGCACTTCCATTTCATTTATGCTTGGACATTCAGAACTTAATAGTTATTTCCTCCCTGCACTGTTCTTAAATTGTGTGACGCCTTTAAAGAGCGCCTCTTCAGTGACACTGGGTCTAGGCGGAGAGTAGCGGTCAGGCCTCCTCCCCCTTCTTCCTCTCCACCACACTGCTCTGTTTGCCCAGAGCTGGGAAAGCTGCAAACCTTCCCCCTGCCTCCCTCCTCGAAGGTCTCTGGCTGAAAGCTCTCGTCTGTCGGGAGGAAACCCGCTCAGCCTCCAGCTCTGGCCTGGCCTGATTGTCTGCCCAGAGGCCAGGCCAGCTCTATCAGTTCTGTGCACAGGGAAGCCCTCGCGCAGAGCGGGAGGCAGGTGGGGGAGGAGGAGCTGTCGGTGGGGCCCCAGGCTTTTGCTGGGCCTACTTCCCACATCTCAGGAGAATAAAGTACTCAGCCCAGAAGAAAGATTCGGGCTTTCAGACTTTGGTTCGGGAGAGAAACGGCATTCAAAGGTTACTCACGTAGGCATCTGACAACACGTAAAGGAAACTGGATGACTAACAGAAATTACAGGATGGCTCCACCCTCTCGCTGAAATGACACATTGATTTGAATGCTTGGGTAATTCACAACAGGCGGTGCTGGCAGGGAGCAGCTTTCCCTCATGAGGATGGAAATAAGGGTAATTGCTAATTTCCTTCCCCTCTCCTTCATTACCTGCCCAGCAACCCGCTGCCACCAGCCTCCTTTCACGGCTTTTCTTGTCTAAGACTTAGTGCCTTCAGAAATCAATTTCCTCCGCTTTGTCCTGGGCTAGATGAAAAAAAAAAAAATCAATGTATTCATACAAGTAGAACAATGCACACAAACTGAGTAAGAAAACATAAATTCAATTACGCGGTATTTGAGGCTTGAATTCCAGTAAATCAACCCAACTTCTTGTCTTCTCCCTTCAGGTGAAAGCATTTGTATTGACACAGCGCCGCCTGCTGGCAACTGGGATCTCAACAGGAAATACTCGCCTAGTCCAACGTTATGCTGCTCATTTCATACGTTTTAATTTTTATTTTTAAATTTCAGTTCTCTTTCAAGCTCTAGACTCTTTCATTCAGAATCCATTCTCTGTGTACTTATGGTAGATGCTGAAGATCTAAGAAAATATGACTACTTCATGTCTAGTGCAGTGGCTCTTAAACTTGACCTCTCTCAGTCACCCAGGCTGGGGTGCAGTGGTGCAATCTTGGTTCACTGAAGCCTCGATCTCGTGGGCTCAGGTAATTCTCCTGCCTCAGCCTTCTGGGTAGCTGGGACCACAGGCGTGAGCCACCATGCCTGGCTAATGTTGGTTTTTTGTTGTCGTTGTTTTGTGGAGACAGGGTTTCATCATGTTGCCCATGCTGGTATTGAACCCCTGGGCTCAAGCAATCTGCCTGCATTGGCCTCTCAAAGTGCTGGAATTGCAGGTATGAGCCATCACCCCTGGCTGAGAAATTTTTAAAATGCAGACTCCTAGGCTCTGCCCGGCAAAGATTCGGAGTTGGTGGGTCTGGGGTGTATCCCAGGAGCTTGTGTTTAAACTCTCCAAGTGATTCTGAAACAAGGAGTCCACAAATCACATGTTGAGAAAAACTAAAGATGGAGAAGCAGACTGGAATTTGTTATTGCAATGTAATCTAGCAAATGCCACAAAGTAAGAACAGAGTCTGCTAGGGACACAGAGAAAGGATGTCTAATCAGACTAAGGAAAGAATAGACGAGGCTTCCCAGAAGGTTACAGACTCTTGATGAATAAAAGTTGGTGAGATGAAGGGGAGCAGGGGAGCACTGCTGCCCTGTCAGCAGTGTGGGAGGCTGGAAGGAAGGAGAATGTGGCAGAGTGTCAGAAAATGAAGGGCTTGGGGCCAGGCACTTTGGGAGGTCAAGGCAGGTGGATTACCTTGAGATCAGGAGTTTCGAGGCCAGCCTGGCCAACATGGCAAAACCCCATCTCTATTAAAAATACAAAAATTATCCAAGCGTGGTGGTGGGCGCCTGTAATCCCAGCTGCTTGGGAGGCTGAGGCAGGAGAATCACTTGAACTCAGGAGGCAGAGGTTGCAGTGAGCTGATATTGTGCCACTGCACTCCAGCCTGGGAGACAGAGCAAGACTCTGTATTAAAAAAAAAAAAAAAAAATGTAGCCCCTGGAATACCAAGCTATCTTTCTCCCCAAAGAGCCAGGGAATGCAGAAACTTTTAAGTAGGAGAATGACTTGAGCAGATCTGCATTTTAGGAAGACCCCGCTTGGCAGCAACGCTGAGCGTGCAGGACTTGCGGCTTGGGTGATCAGATGTCATTTTCTAAGAGCACACGGAGGGACAGGATTGGGGGCAGGAGGTCAAGGAAGAGTAAAAGAAACACAAAAGGGAGGCCAGGCGTGGTGGCTCACCCGTAATCCCTGCTACTCAGGAGGCTGAGGCAGGAGAATCACGAACCCAGAAGACAGAGGTTTCAGTAAGCAGAGATCACGCCACTGCACTCCAAGCCTGGGCGACAGAGTGAGACTCTGTCTCAAAAGAAGGAAAAACAAGAAAGAGACACAAAAGGGAAAGAGGAGGCTGGTATGGTGGCTCGTGCCACAGGCAAATTTCAAGAGATCCATGCAGACTGTAGTTAGCAACAATGTATTGTATACTAGATAATTGCTTGGAGAGTAGATTTTAAGTGTTCTCACCACACAAAAAAAGAAATGTGAGATAATGTACATGTTGATTGGATTGATTTAGCCATTCCACAATGTGGATGTATATCAAATATCATGTGGGACACCATAAATATATACAATTTTTATTTGTCAATTTAAAAAATTTAAAAGAGCCATCATTTTAGAGCTTTCCCAGCTTGTAGCCATGAGGGGTTACGTGGGTGTCTTTATGTCCACGAGAAGAGAGGCACCGAGGAGACAAAAGGACAGGTGCCCAACCAACAGCTTCTGCTTATTCCCTTCCTTCCTCTTGACCAAGCTGAACTCACAGCCTGACCACAGAATGACCCAACAAAGCTAAATTTAATTGCGTTTGAAGCTGAGGAGCAGGCTGAATTTGATCTCCAAACCTCCTGAGAGCAGCAGCAGCATACCCAAGGCTATCTATCGTGTGGCGTGGATAGGGGAGTGTGTCTTCTTTCCCTTTGGAGTTCTGGGGTCTGTGTTTGTTGTCCAGTGGTCCTTAACAATCCTGTTTTATTCTGGACAGCAGAGTGGGAAAAGCACTGGGTAAGGAATCAAACAAAGTAACCAAATTGTCTGGCACTGTTGCTTAAACTGGCTGTCTCTCAGTTTTCTATCTGTAGAACAGGGATAATAGGGCTTGCCCCTAATCATTATTTGGTTGGTCTAAGGATGAAATGAGGCAGTGCTCTCCAAACTATAAAATGTGCTGGGCGCAATGGCTCACGCCTGTAATCTCAACACTTTGGGTGGCAGAGGCGAGCGGACTGCGTGAGGTCAGGAGTTCGAGACCAGCCTGGACAACATGGTGAAACTCTGTCCACACTAAAACACAAAAATTAGCCAGGTGTGGTGGCCTGCACCTATAATCCCAGCAATTTAGCAGTGAACCGAGATCGCGCCGCTGCACTCCAGCCTGGGTTACAGAGAGACTCTGTCTCAATAATGAACAAACACACACTGTAAAACAAATATAAGATACGTCCTACAACCAGGAGCGGCATTACCGGGGTTAGGACGGGAGAAATAATACAGGAATGGTGCTCCCTTCTGTGCACCTCAAGAATTGCAGCACAGGCTGGAGTCAGCCTTCATCCAGGGTGGGGCCCGAGCCTCAGGCATCACGAGGCTTAACTTTTATTTCAGGTCCCCTCCCTGTCCGTTGTTTTATGACTTCCCTCCTGGTTCTATTTGTGCCACCCTCTCCTTAATTTGATCTCCAGCTGGGCCTGGCATCTTCACAGCAGCTTAGAATTCTCAACCATGATCTTCGATCCCCACTGCGGGGCTCCATTAGTCACAGTGGGTCTTTCCTGCAGGAGACTTCAGCCAAGACATTTAGGCCAGATGAGCTTTTTTTTTTTTTTTTTTTTTNTTGAGTTGTGAAACTCAGCCTGTGGCCCAGGCTGGAGTGCAATGGCATGATCTCAGCTCACTGCAACCTCCACCTCCTGGGTTCAAGCAATTCTCCTTCCTGAGGCCTCCCGAGTAGCTGGGATTACAGGGGTGTGCCACAATACCCGGCAAATATTTTGAATTTTTAGTAGAGTTGGGGTTTCACCATGTTGGCCAGGCTGGTCTCGAGCTCCTGACCTCAGGTTTTCCACCTGCCTCGCGTCCCAAAGTGCTGGGATTACAGGTGTGAGCCACCGTGCCCAGCCTAACTTCTAAAAGAGTTAATTTCCTTTTTCTTTTCTTTCTTTCTTTTTTTTTTTTTTTTTTTGCTTGCCAATTAACACTTGTGTCCACCTAAAAGGAGGAAGCTGAGGCAAAAATAATGTAGAGAGTTTATTGGGGTCAAGGTTGAGATCTGCAGCCTGGGACACACTTTCAAGTTGCTTTGGGGAGTGTTCCCAAGAACGAAAAGAGAGGCTCAGGTTTTTAAAGAATGAAAGATGAATCAGGAGGGGAGCAATTACAAAAGTTGTTCATCAGGAATTCTCATTGGTTTACAGAAATAACATTGGTTAGTAATTGGCTAGACTTTGTTGAAATATAAGGTGTATGGCATTTTTTTGGCTAATTGGCATTAGTCTACAGCCTGCATAGCAGGAGACTTCAAGAGATCATTATTTAGCTCGAGAAGGAGTGAGACGTGACTGCCTTTACATCCCAGTGCCTCTCTGGGCCTGATAATGTAAAGGAGTTCGTATTTCTCAGATAAAAAATGTATCTTTCTTCAGTGGCTCATACCTATAATCCCAATACTTTGGAAGGCCTAGGCAGGCAGGTTGTTTGAGCTCAGGAGTTTGAGACTGTCCTGGGCAATATATCAAGACCCCACCTCTACAAAAGTAAAAAATTAGCTGGGTGTCGTAGCATGCACCTGGGGTCCCAGGTACTCTGAGAGGCTGGGGTGAGAATCACCTGAGCCCAGGAGACTGAGGCTGTAGTGAGCCATGTTTGCACGACCTGGTTGACAGAGCAAGACTCTGTTTCAAAACAAAGAAACAAAACCTTTTCTTTTCCCTCCACACTTGATACGAATGGTTTTTCACCTGCTTATCCACAATTTCCATGCCATTCTCAGGAAAAGTGAATTACAAGCATGAAGCAAAATTGCAAAGAGGTCGCGATTTGTCTGGAGGCTCCTTCTTCCCCCACTTTCTGTTCAGGAGTTTTCTTTGAGAGCATCTAGAGCTGAGAGCCAGAGTATTCTGGATTCCATTCCCATCCCATCCAAATCCCAACCTCCCTGTGCCCAAAGCATTGTGGTTCTGCTGTCTGCTATGACTAATTTGATTAGTTAACTTTTAAAAAGTTATTGCTAGATGATAATATGTTAATATGCTAACATATTTGTCTTTTAATAGCAGTCTTTAAAACCTGGAGCCAAAGATGGGGGAGAGCAGTAAAGAGAGGCATAATTTCAATGTCAAATTATGCAATTTGCCTGAAGAGATTATTTGTAGACAAGGCCTTCCATTTACATAATGATAGGGAGCCTCAGTGATCTTCTTTGTGCTGTTCAGACAAGTGTGGGTCAGAAAGGTCAAGTGTTTGCTGGGGTCTGTAGAGCTAATTAGTGATGAAACAAGGAGGAGGACCCACTACCCTAGGCTAATTTGCACTTTGTTTCTTTGCCACCTTATTCTGCTGTGAGAGAATATTTGATGAGGTAGGAGTTGCAAATATTGACTGAAAAGAGACACTGATATTTTAAAAAATTGTCTGCAGATTTCCATTATCTTTTGGTTTTTTTAAAATAACACTTATTATATTGAAAAGAAATTGGAAAGAAAGAAGAAAAAATAAGCAGAGCAAAAAAAGAGAGGGAGCAACCAGTATGTACCTAGCATTTTATACATGCTAAATAAAAATTATTTGGACTAAGTTTCTGCACTAGGCCCCAGTAGACCAGACTAAAAACCAAACGCTAAAGTTCCATGTCCACGTCACCAAACCCAAACTAAGTTGTTATCTGACCTTCC